GATGGACACCACCCCCCCCCTCTAGCGAATGATGATGGATGCCACCGCCCTCTCGCCCCCCGCTCTTCTGTAACAGACGCACGAGCCTACTGCAGGTATTTTTGTGCAACCACCACAAAAATCTATTCCACCTTCAACTCTAGTACACCTTTCATGACCTTATTTGACGATATCTCAACCAGGACTAACTCCAAGCCTGCTCCCAGAGCCATCATTTTCAAGTCCATTCCATCACGCCTCAACATAAATACTGCGATTAACCTATCCCAAGTCTTGTTACCCTGACCTAAACTTGACTTGACGTAGTGCACGACAGTTCTAGAAGAGTATCAAGTGCAACCTAGGTCTAGAACGCTTCCAGAAGCTTCCAGAAGCTTCCAAAAGGTTTCCAGAAGCTCCACACGTTCTATGTAGATGTCCCGGTCGACCTTGACCTAGCATGCTTCTGGAATATTTCTAGAACAAGAGAATACATGCCACGGAGAGATAGATTAGTTGCTGCAATCTACCTTCTACCGCTACTACCGCTACGCAGACTGGTTGCTGCAATCGTTTTCAAAGGTCAAACCGTGTCCGACTACTGGTGATCTCGACGCACGATTTTGCTTGGCATTGGAGGTGCTGCTCTAAAGCCTACACATCAATATTAAAACAGGGTTTTCGCACGATTGAGAGCGAGAACCAAAAATATTCGAAATTCGGGTCCAGACGCCTCCCGTCATTTCTCGGGAAGCAGGGGATGGGCTCTTCCAAAAAGCGGCGCAAATTGAAGCTCTCTTCAGCAGCTTCGCGTGCATATGCGTGTCACTGCGATCGGCTGCAGCAGCGAGGAGCTACGCACGTTGCTAGATTTCCCCAGATTGGCTATTCCTGCCCGAAACTGTTTCAGGGCGCCGTCGCCTGGCGCGGTAGGCCCTCCCGTAGCTTCTGCTCCGCGGTGTAGCTCCACAACGCGAGACACCCGCAGGATGACCCGGGTATCGGCTTGTAGCTATGGGCAAGCCCTTCAATTCAAGCCGCACAGCAAGCTCTACCTCTCTGCAGTAGACAAGCTACATCGTATCGCACGATCTCGCTCTCAATCAGATACTTCGCTCTCAATCGTGCGAATATTTTGTTATTACAGTATTTTTTGCCAGCTTCGTGCCCTTGGTATGCTGTGCACGGTGTTCACCCACCACCCTTTCTTTCAGCGTTATGCTGAGCTGAAGGCGAGGGCGCCTGGCGCCCGCGCCTGGAGACCTTGTATATACATTTTGTTGCTTTCTCCCATCATGGACTCTGTCGTCTGCCCCTCTGGCCCCCATCCTCTACTTCTACTGGCTAGACGATCCTGCCGGGGTCACAAAGGAGGGGGTTTGCCGGACTCGTGTTCTGCGGGACATAATTTCTAGAGCGGTGGTCGAATCGGGTACACCCGGTCCAACCATTGTCTTTCATAATCGGGTACCCCAAGACGCTGTCGGGAGCGACCGCATGACACCATCTGATTGACCTACGCCCATCCCGACAGTACCCGACCTTGACTGCCTTTCCACTGGGTGCACCCGATCTTCTATTGGCAACTGACACGAGGTTAATGTGAAGACAAGAACAACAACGATTCAACCCCTGGGACCCGATTTTCCTTTCCCCTACCAGACTCCCCCTCCTCCGGCGGTGATTGCCATCGGGGTTGGGTTTTCGTCGCTTGGCAACGACGTTGTAAAACAAGCCGCCCCCCCCGGTGTTTGCCATCGGGATTGGGTTTTCGTCGCTTGGCAAAGACGTTGTAAAACAAGCCAATTCACTTCGTGAACTCGGCAACCAGGTTACCGTT